TGTTCGACTTCTGTTGGCATATGGGCTCATATGAGGATGCATCGAGATTACTTGAATATTAGTTATGATGAAATACTTGATTGTAGCTTGTAATAACTAATATTCGTTGTACAAGAGGTCAGTATAGTGCCCCAGTGGCCCACTGGATAACTATTTGGTGTTTGAAGTGATGAGTATGAGGTTAGAGTCTCAGTGACAACAACATCACTCAGTAGAGTGCAGGCGCATCCAGTGGAAGAGTCCCGAATAGGACAAAATTCGCTTCCTGGATTCCTCTGTTAACCACAACCAAGTATTTTATCATAATAAATATTCAGGCAATATCAATACATCCGCATGGGAGCCCAAATGCAAATAGAAGTGGAACAATTATATCCAGTAAAACAACCGAGAGCTTATCAACAAATATTAATATTATTATTATTAGTATTTTTCCCTTGGATTCCTAGCACGCCTCCATTGCACTCTCTTCTCTGAAGTCTTCTCAACCTGGCACCACCACTGCCCACAAGCTTTCATTTCTTCCTCACATGATCTCCTCCATGTCACCCTCTCCTCGGACCACCAACTCGTCGTTTCTCCTTTGGATTCCACTCGAGGGGCTGACGCGTAATGTCTCAGTGTATGCCCAATCCATCTCCTCTTTCTTCTGCATATTTATTGGGTGATGTGTTTGTTCTTGGTTGATTGGTTGGTTCCCAGAGTTCCTTCTCGCTTATTCTTATTATTCTGGACATCTGATCTTCAGTGTTAATATCAAGTGAGCGTAGGCGGCAGCTGTTCATGTGATGTATGTCTGTAGTTTTTTGGAAGTGCTTTTCCTGATGTGCCAATTTTCTGAACAATCGCATAGAAGCACTGACTTGACTGACATCAGTGTTGAAAATCAGGATGTTGTTCACACTTTATGCTGAGTGGAGTAGATCTCCTCACTGATTTCAAATTGATGAAAGCCTGTCTTGCTTTTCCGATGCTGGTTTTGACATCCACATCTGTGCCTGTGTTGCCTGCAGTTGAAACGATGCTGCCTGCCTAGTTACGTGTAGATGAAACAGACTACTTCCCTTAGGTTTCTACCGTTCATGGTGATTGGTGCTTGTTGTTGATGCTGTTGTTGTTTGCGTATCTTCATCACTTCTGTCTTCTGTACGTTCACCTGAAGGATGTCCCGTCTTCACTGCCTCACACCTTCTGTCAACTTGTTAGTTTTCGCCTGTAGATCTTCGAGTTTGTGTGACAAGACATTAAACATAAATCATCATCGTTGGTGAAATCCAAATCTTCTTCTGAGGTCTTTTCATCTGTCAAACTGCGTATGCCCATCTTCTCACTCCTCACGTTTTGCTGCATGATCCAGTCGACCACAATCAGGAAGATCATCGGTGATAGTAGGCAGCATATTATGATTACACTGATATAATTGTGAGCAATAATTTATCCTAGGACTGTTATCAATTAAATGACACCGTATCACTGCGTCCCATATCAAACGGACAAATCTAATAGTATTTCGGACTCTTCCGTTGAATGTAGATGCCTCACAATGAGTGATGTTGTTCCGTCTAAGACTGGATCTCTTGATTTTTTCAAGTTCAAAACTGAAGAGGAATTGACTCATCTTCCATTCAGAAAGATAACTGGTTATTCTCTCATAGATATTTTTCGTAATCACTGAACACACATAACGGGAATGAAGCAACACCTATACCAGAGATATGGAAAATTTTAGTACCAGTGGAAACAAAGAATGTGTGGTGACAGGACTATAAAAATCAGACGTCGAACGTGGTGTGATTACATTAATGTAATTATGAGCAATCAGTTATCCTGGAAACGTCAGCAGTTAAATAATACTGTATGACTTTAAGCCATATATCATGTAAACAAATTTAATGTGGAATAACTGAATCTGCCCTCTTATTATTCCTGAATGCATAAGTTGACAAGTCTTGCAAAGTTCAGTGATATAGATTCCTGTTTATAGCTAATCGGTAAATTCATCGTTTCATTCTAAACTGAACAAAAATTCGACAAGTAAAATTGCTATTCACACGTTATCCCACTGGATTACACTAGCCCACACGTATCTGAATTGTAATTCAAGTATCCGTAACAGCATGTCAGATAAGCCCAGATAGCATACAACTTCTCTAAGTAGCTAAGTGCTGATTAAGATGCCGAACATGGCACCAAGAGATTTTTCAATTTGGTATTCATCATGGACTGACATTAGTTGGAGGAACATTGAAAACCTGAGGGCACTGGATAGCTGCTTCTTCCTAGTATAGGACTTCTCAATAGTGCTCACCCATAACGCCACCCCACCAGTGGTCGAACCCAGGACTTTCAGGTCCCGTGAACACGACGTTACTATCGAGCGACTGGGTCGGAACCAGCGGTCCATATTTCCAACTTCTGTCACGCATTAGCATGAACATCACCCACTGTCATCGCTGAGTATTTGTCCTCACGTCCACCAGGTTTGCTCCACCAGTGACTATTTCCCGTTGGAACTTCAAGAATCACCTCTCGAAGCTACTCACCAATGGCCACTGTAAGCTATAAATATGGACCACTGGATTCCGACCCAGTCGCTCAATGGTGACGTGTTAGCCACGGAGCCTGAAGGTCCTGGGTTCGACCCCTGGCGGGGCGGGGTTGTGGGTACGCACTGTTGAGGAGTCCCATACTAGGTTGACGCAGGTACCCAGTGCTCCCAGGTTTCCAGCGCTCCTCCAGCTGATGTCAGTCCATTACGAACACCTTGAAAAATCACTTAGTCCCCACTAACCCTCAAATTCAAGTGAAAGATTCGCCAATTAGAACTTCAGCCTGGTTGACAGCTCAACTAGAGCACCTTGATTCCAAATTACAGCCATTTACCATTATCTCTAGTTTAACTGAATTTATTAAGTGGATGAAGTATCAGACCATCCAATATTTTGTGTGAAGTAGTTTAAAATCAGCGGCATATAGATTAGAAATCTTCCTTAAATCATTCTAGGTTTGACAGTAGACTATTTAAATGGCTTTTGTCATCTGCATGTTAATCTAAGAACTGTTGCTTATTGGTCTAGACACTCATCCTAATGGGTGTCATTAGCCTTACACAATAATTGTAGCTTGTTGTCTACGGCATGGAAGTGCCCGTGGTTGTTTAGTACATTTTCTTTTTAGTTCCGAAAAACATCTAAATCAATTGTGTTTTCTTTACTTGAATTACCGGTTTACGTCACCGACAGATGTTGTAGCTAACTACTATTCAGAACTAGCTATTATTCAGACCTTACTCATTTGTCTAGTTCACACAGATCGGTAGACCAACTAGTATGTGACGATAAATTTGAATAATGATAGGATTTAATCGATTCAACAAAATGAGTATAGCGTCGCACAGCTTAGAGGTCCCACCGTATTCAAGGCAGATAAACTTCAACCAGCCCACAAAACTGGGTATCTTCATTTGTTGCCATCTGTCGACCAGCCATTTAACATGATTTTTAGCTGTTGATGAGTTACTAGATGGACTCAACATACATCTCAGTACTCTTAATCAATATGAATATCTAGATATAGATATTATACCATTCACTTAATCCGTCGTTTCTAGGTATATGCTGAACTAGTAAATCAGAGTATTAGAGAGTAGTCGTTCTGTCTTAAACATCAAAATATCTGTTTCAAAGGCATTGAAAACTGGAAAATGTAAGCTAGTGAGTTAATCACTAAAATTTCTTTTTCACATAAATTTATATGATTGCATTCCAAACATCTGTGAATAGTCACTTTTTAAGTAGGTTAATCAATACTGACAAGATTGCATACATTTGGATCAATGTTTCTTGGTCGCAGAATTATATTAGAAAGTCAGTGCATATCGATTGTTTACCATGTCTTAATTTGTACTTCCTTGCAAGCTTACAATTAAGACCTTTTAAATATCCTCAACTCAGTAATTACTGAGCATTGATTACTGTTGTGGGCAATCGTATTTGAATTGGAGATAAAGGCTGAAATCAAGAAACAATTAGGTTATATCACAAAAGGACAAGTTTTGAGGTGCTTTCGACGAAATGACAACCCAACAAATCAATAATTCACAGTTTCACACTTTCAAATTTCAACAGTTGATAGGCTTCAGTAAGATTCAAACCAGGAATCAATATAACTTCAGTACGTTTTTGCTTCTATTCATATTACTCCAAAAAATATCAAATACTGAAAAAAATTGCTTTTAATTCACTAACTTTTTTATCACTTTTCATCATTCAACTTTGTTTCAATTTGATACAGAATTATCTAGTTTGATAACTAATTAATTCGAATTAATATATGCGATAAGAAATCTTGCATCTACGAAAAGATGAATTATGTGAGTGTTTACTGATAATGTTGATTAGTAGTAATGTGTTGACCACCTGATGTCAGGCAGAATTTCAAATATTATCGTTTAAATTTACCATTGAAAAATTAGCTGAGACTGTCAAAAATGAGGTCAATCAAAGATTCTTCAGCAGATTTTCTTCTTTTTTCCATTTATTTAATCTGTTATACATAACTTAGTTAATCACTAACTGGCCCATTATCAGTGAATTAGTGGTTTATTTTTCGAATATTTATCTTAGGGACTCACTAATATTACTGATCATGTCACACTTTGTGAAGAGTTTAAGCGTCTACTGCTGACTAGATAATATTTTACACAGTACATCACTGTTTTATTTTAGAAAACGATATGCCTATCTTTGAAGATGAAATGAAAAGTAGGAGATCAATAAGCCCGCCAAATCGTTTAGATAAGCACTAAACGCCGTCTACAAAAGCTGATAGAAATTTTGTGTCTACTAACATAAACCATCAGTAGTATAAATATATGCTAAATAATAACGGGCAAGTTATGCTGTATGATTCATTTCACTCTATGGATAAGCCTTCCATTCATCAAGAGCACAAAGTAACAGGATGAACCCTGATAAGTGAAAAAGAAAATCAACACATACCCTCAGCCAATCTCTAAGTTCCTTTGATGAATTTGTGTAATGTTCATGATTCATTTCGGCGAAACGTCCATGATTGTATAGGAATTTCTTATGTCTGTCGTTCAGTTTTACCTCCAGGTGTCTGGCATCATAATAAAACTACAAATACAAATAAATAAAATTGAAAAGCCTCAGTTAGTTATCATGAAACTATTGAACAGTCGATTAGTGAGAGAAAAAAACTGTACACGCATCGGAAACATCCTTTATATAGGTCAAATCGTTACTACACCGTCAGGTTTCAAGATATCTCTACCTTGAGTGTCGGATTCTGATAACGCGACATTTGAATCATTCAAGACGAGTTCTGATGAAGCAGACTTTACAAAACAACTGAAAGGTATAGTATGTTGAATAACTAACGTTAGAAGATATGCAAATGATATACCCCTGAATTCTGATACAGTGGTTCATGAGTAAAAAATATGACGTAGTTTGTAAATCACCGATTTTCATACTGACGGAAGTTAAGGGAGCATTTTAATAGAATGCTGGATATCGAAATGGAAAGTCTATCCCTTACTTTTCAAAATCCTTTAGTTGGAGTATTGGAGTTAATTACCGAAGAATCTAGATGACACTGGTCAAATTAGATTAGTTATAATTGTCTTTATATAAATTGCATGAATTTCGATATTCATGTATAAGGGTAGGTACAAAAAATCTTGATAGTTTATTCAGTAAGTAAAAGTTCCTGCCTTAGGTTGTTTATTGTAAGAATTTTCATTATATCTGCTTCATGAATCTGATTTCAACTTTTTAAAATCGAAAAAATGTATTCGGATGAAATCTTCTGAATGAAGTCTTGTAGCGGTTGGCCATCATAAACATCGATTGTGTACAGCCATTGAGAAGTGCATGATAAATCTAAGATTATGACTCTTATAGTTTATTATCTGCCAACACAAATCTTCTTTGATATTTAGGCTGAACTTATTACCATGATCCAATCGAGGTTCATTTACTAGGCTTAATGTTCAGTTAGGTGACTGTTTGCCTCGCCTGGTTAATTAGTTCACTAGTTACTAGCTGGTCCTAAGCCCGTATAAAGAGGGAAGGTTGGGCATACGGCTAGCAACCCTACCACGGTAAACCAATACAACCGCTACAGAAACTTCAAAGCACAAAGAAAACATAGAGAATAAAAATAAAATTATTCCTCGCTGGAATCGGGGAGACGATATGACGCCAGTTGGTGAAAGCCTGCCTTCAGGAAGCCAATTCACTGATATGTCTTCTCTCCCTCCATGAAAGCAAATGTAAACATGGGAACATGGAATGTCCACACCATGTATGAACCTAGTAAGGCTGTCCAGATTGCAAACGAGATGAGAAGCTATGACATAGAAGTTCTTGGAAGTTGCAAGGAATCAGCAGATGGAATGGAAGCGTCAACTGCAGAGTCAATAATCTACTCCAATATTGTCACAAAGACGACAACCACAAGCACACTGAGTTTTCAGTGGCTATCATGATGTCCCAAACAGCACCGAAGGTTCTCATGCAGTGGGAACCAGTCTCCTCCTGCATGGTCACCACAGCAAGATGGATTCAACTCAAAAGGAAGGAAAGTCACAATCACACAATGCTACGCTACACTAAGCACCTTCAAATAATGCAGATGAAGAGAAGAAGGAGGAATTCAAACAGACAACTGCAATCAGTAGTGGACAACACACCACTCCAGTTGGCGACATCAAAATTCGAATGTGTGGTGTGGTGTGACATGAATGCCAAACTGGGAGTAGACAACACAGGAAGAGAACTCATCCATCATCAGTCGAGAAGCACTCGGTGAAATGATGAATCACAATGGAGAACTGTTCACACATTTCTGTGCATTCAATGATTTGGTGATTGGAGACAGTGTGTACAAACACAAGGATATTCACAAGGCAGAGACATGGATTTCACCAGACACCAAGACACACTAAAAATCAGATGGACTTAATGTCAATGTGAAGAAAGTGGAGAGGCAGCCAGCCTACTGGACACAAGATCGGATCAGATGAAGGAGAGGAGTAGATGTAGGTTCACACCACTCACCACTCACAACACTATCTAGTGCAAGGAACCTATCCTCAAAATCAAGTTGAAAGCCTTCAAAGAAGTTGGTGATAGACGACCAGAGTTGAAGTTGAACACCCAGAACACAAACTGAGGGACGAAACTACAAACGACATCTTCACGTCAGTCAGCCATAAGGACAAAATGGGAGATATTGAGCAACATCCCTTAAGGAACCTGTGTGGATGAACACTGGGACGCTTGGAAAGCTGTGTGGAAAGAAACCTGCATAACCATATAAGGAAGGAGGAGGAGGAAACAGGATGAGTAATGGATCTCGACGGCCACATGGGAACTGATAGAGGAGGGAGAGCAAGATGGTGATGGTGAAGCAGAAGATGAACCAGTGTAGTGCAATGCAGTGCAGTGCAGTGCAAGGATGAACAACGAAAAGAGGAACTGAACACAACCTATAAAACACTACACTGGACAAAGAAGTGAAGAAGAGTTCTCGCCAAGATGAAAGACACTTCTACAACACATTGGCAAGGGAAGCAGAACAGGCTGCTGGTAGCAGAGACCTGACAACACTGTATCAAATAACCAGGTTACCATCTGGGAGGGAATAGATCAACTCAGACGAACCCAATGAAAGATAGTGTAGGAAACTCAGTTACCGAATAGAGAGGAGAAACAGGAAACATTGGGCTGACCACTTCAACAAACTCTTGAGTCGTCCACCACCACCTGCAACTCGTCCGGAAATACCATCAGCAGCCCAGCCACAGAACTACCAGTGAACACAAGCCCTCCGACAAAAGCAAAAGTGAAGTCCTGAACGCATTAAAGCTGCTGAAATGAGGGGAAGCAGCAGGACCAGATGCACTCCCTCCAGAAGCAATGAAAACAGACACAGAGAAATCAGCAGACATGCTCACACAACTACTGCACAAGGTTTGCAAGGAAGGAAGGACAGACACCTGTCCATTGATTGGAAGAAGGGTTACCTGGTCACACTTCCAAGGAACGCTGACCTAAGTGTTTGCAAGAACTGGAGAGGAACCATGCTCCACCCCTGTCCACCTCAAGCAAAATATTATGCCGCATCATCCTGGAGAGACTAAAGGATGCACTCGATTCAAAATTACAACCGGAAAAGGCTGGCTCGATTCAGGCAGTACAAATCATGTGCCGATCAAATTGCAACGCTACGCTACACATGATCATGGAACAGAGTATACAATACCAGTCAACCCTCTACCTCGACTTCATCGACCTTGAAAAGATTTGTCGGTTTGATATGGGACGCAGTGATACGGTGTCATTTAATTGATAACAGTCCTAGGATAAATTATTGCTCACAATTATATCAGTGTAATCATAATATGCTGCCTACTATCACCGATGATCTTCCTGATTGTGGTCGACTGGATCATGCAGCAAAACGTGAGGAGTGAGAAGATGGGCATACGCAGTTTGACAGATGAAAAGACCTCAGAAGAAGATTTGGATTTCACCAACGATGATGATTTATGTTTAATGTCTTGTCACACAAACTCGAAGATCTACAGGCGAAAACTAACAAGTTGACAGAAGGTGTGAGGCAGTGAAGACGGGACATCCTTCAGGTGAACGTACAGAAGACAGAAGTGATGAAGATACGCAAACAACAACAGCATCAACAACAAGCACCAATCACCATGAACGGTAGAAACCTAAGGGAAGTAGTCTGTTTCATCTACACGTAACTAGGCAGGCAGCATCGTTTCAACTGCAGGCAACACAGGCACAGATGTGGATGTCAAAACCAGCATCGGAAAAGCAAGACAGGCTTTCATCAATTTGAAATCAGTGAGGAGATCTACTCCACTCAGCATAAAGTGTGAACAACATCCTGATTTTCAACACTGATGTCAGTCAAGTCAGTGCTTCTATGCGATTGTTCAGAAAATTGGCACATCAGGAAAAGCACTTCCAAAAAACTACAGACATACATCACATGAACAGCTGCCGCCTACGCTCACTTGATATTAACACTGAAGATCAGATGTCCAGAATAATAAGAATAAGCGAGAAGGAACTCTGGGAACCAACCAATCAACCAAGAACAAACACATCACCCAATAAATATGCAGAAGAAAGAGGAGATGGATTGGGCATACACTGAGACATTACGCGTCAGCCCCTCGAGTGGAATCCAAAGGAGAAACGACGAGTTGGTGGTCCGAGGAGAGGGTGACATGGAGGAGATCATGTGAGGAAGAAATGAAAGCTTGTGGGCAGTGGTGGTGCCAGGTTGAGAAGACTTCAGAGAAGAGGGTGCGATGGAGGCCTGCTACTGAAGCCACTCGGAGCCCAACGGAAGTATAACAATATTAATACCAGTAAGCTCTACTGAATATTGGTTAGGTCATGTGTAACTGCCGTTGCTGCAGGAATCATCACAGTACAGCAAGATCCTAGGAGTATAACTGTGCTCTTGTTTTTCTTGCAACAGAATGACAATGATATATTTACTTCTGATAACCAGACGTATTAGCGATGTTATGTAGCCATTCTTAAAAGAATGACGAGTAAGAAGTTGGCCTTACACTTATAGACTTCGCCTTACACTTCCGTCTTCTTTCTTGATCTAAATATTTATATGAGTAACGAAAGAAACTATTCAGAGACAAGTATTTCTATTATTGGTCATGTCTATGTGTTTCGTAATTCTTTAAGTTGTCTGGTCGGCATCCAATTACGCAATGAAACAGAATTCTGCAACGTGAGCCCTTATGATATACCAAGTAAACGCAATCCTTAAGCAATACAAAGATCCTTGATGATCTACTTCTGTTAGAGTACTACTGTTCCCTTAATTTCCACGGGTTCTACCAGGTATCAATTCAAGCAAAACGATAACCATCTTTAAATGAAATTATTCTGTCAGCCGAATATCTAATATTCCAGTGTACTAGAACCATTTGACTAGAAATTCTTGCTACCTCAAAGATCCATCCCAGGGGTTTTGAACGTACGACAGTGATTTTAATTTTCACTTAATCTCACTTAAATTCAAACATGACAGGGACTGGAAGCTACTGAAATACAAATCAACGAAGTCTTCTTGATAACAGTTAACACCAACGGGTGATTAAAATGAGAAGAATAAGAAAGAAAATATGGTGGCAGCTGATGGTTACCAGTTGTTGAAAATCCTTCAGGAGGAAAAAACTTAAAAAAAGGCTAATTGGCGAATATACTTCTGGCAAGAACAGACCATCTATATACTCACGGAGTAGGTGTGAAAAGAATGGACTGCATAAATGCAAACCATGTACATAGGTTCCAGTTTTCCCTCAGTTACTTATCAATAAGCCACATTCTGTATAGAACATTAAAACCTACTTCTTAATAATTATCATGGTAAAATGCAAGTTAAGAATCTGGAACATGACAAAGCAGTTGAAAGTGACAGTTAATTGTCGACAATATCCAAGGTTATTATTCTTAAATCATTTGGCAGACTAGAGGAAACCCATAATATCCCCTTGAAATTGGTATATGTCTTTTTTTAGAATATGAGTGATTCGAGCAAGTGTTTGACAAAACTTTTACAAACAATGAAAGTTGCAGTTTGATACTTTTCACCTAAAGTAATCTATGACACTGGTAAATTATGAAGAAAGAGTCTGCTGTTAAGCCGTTGTCCTTGTGATACTTTACGGATATAAGATGTAGTTATTAAAAATCGGTTCAAGCAAGAGTGTGTTTAGTCCTCTAATTTTTGAAAGTTCATTGAAGTGGATGAGCGAGTCACACAGAGAACAGATAATTAACCCCACATACAGTGAACTACATCGAAGTTACTAGTGGTTAGACGAAGATAACGAACCAGTTCATGAGGTTGTCTACTGTTGCTTTCAACAATAAGGGAGAAGGCAACATTTATTTTAAGAGTTCTAAATAAATGAACAGAGACTTGAGTGGCATAGTTTAAAATCAAATACATTCGATTCGGATCTCTTCTTGCTTCTGTCTTTTGCAATATTTGAGTACTTTATATGTTTATTTATTTCCTGCTCATTCATATTCTTCCTTCAATGTATCTTATCTCCCTGCTTATTTTGACCTGTTTCGACAGTGATGTTGGGTATAATACGTAGGCTAGTTTTCATGTGCGCAGTATTATGTTTTACTCTCTGTATCTCTGTCCTAATAGGCTTTGCAGTCATAGACAATAGTAAGCTAATCGACTGTGTATGCAGATACTTAACACAACTGTGAATGAACAAGTTGTTAAATATACTTGGTAGCATATACTGATTCAGGTGACACAGACTCCAATAATAGTGAATTACAGGTTGATATGCATCATGGACTGAAATCAATTGGAGAAACATTGGAAACTATGGACAGCTGTTTCGTCCCGCTGAGGAATCCTATTATGGGACGAAACGGCTGCCTAGTGCTCTTCGCTTTCCAGTGTTTCTCCAACCGATGTCAGTTCATGATAAAAGCCAACTTAAAATGAAACAGTAAATCTCCATTAACTTTCAAACTGAATAATGAATTAATCAGTTGTACAGAAAGCGTGGTCTTTAACAGTGACCGAAATCGCCTATGACATCTGTTCATCATAACCCCAATAGTATAGTTACCTTTATGCAGGAGTTCATCTGGAAGTTAGTCTCTCTGTCATACTATTAAAGTGATGGAAAAAGATATTAGATCTAAGTATGAATTAAATTTTTATTTTAAAAAGAGAACTTTAATATGACGTTAAAGTCTTGTTTGCTGGTTAATCGCACCACAGTTCAAGCTGATATGAAGTTATAATTTTTAAATGCTTTTATTGGTAGACAAAAGTTATACACTGGGACTTTTTCGCAGTCAGCTTCCGGTGTAACATTGATAAAAATCCGCTCAACTGAACTTTGTGAACGTCACCAGTCAATAAGTCTTAATGCAGTAAGTGGACAGAAGGTTTATTATTAAAGCTTGATAGATATAATGTCTATTGATTGGTCGCTGGGAAGCAACCAATTTCATGTTGTCTAGTCCTGAGTGCAAACCGAATCCTTTCGATCATCCACTAATGTGCACCGCGATTCTGAGCCTTCTAGCTTGGTAGTCACATTGCAAATATGGTCGATAGGATTCAGTTTGGACTCAGGACTAGACAACATGAAATTGGTTGTTCTCCTGTGACCGTCAATATATTTAACCCATCCTACAGGAGGTCAGTCGCGGCCTGAATAGTTTAGTTGTGCAGTCGCTGACTAAATCACTAAGTGATGCGGGTTCGAATCCCGGGCGGGATATTAGTTCCGTTGAGATTGCAGATATGCCTTGATGGTCAGTGCCAACAAGCACAAAACCTAGGTCCAGGGCTTCCTACACATTGGCTCCGACCAACTAAAATTTCATATCGGAAATAATTGAAAAGATTTGCAGCTCAAAATGAGAATGACGGTAGTTTGATGTTCCCTGAGCTTTGTTATTTTGTCGTGAATGTTTCATCTCTAGGCTTGGTGACATCTTCAGCACTAACATCATAAAGAGAATGCTCTACTTCTTTGTGAAGTTAGTAGTGAACATGTCACCAAGCATGGTGTTGAAATGCTCAGGACAAAATATCAAAGCTCAGAGAACATCAAAACATTAGATACCAGTAATCAAAACTATGAAAACTATTCTTCATGAACACTTAGTTGCTCGCACCAAGTGAATAAATGTGTTAAAAAATTATATTGAATGTTCAGTGATCGATAAACAATTTAGGTGATACACTTGACGATTGATAATACCTGATGAAAATCTGCGGCATTTTTGAGATGTATTGTAGCCAGTTCTGAATATCGACCAAGATTTTGCCAACATCGATTTACGGATCCAGATAATTTCTAAAATTGACATTTAATAAATAATAACGATAAAAATTTACTTACAGATACATTTTTCAACGTAATAGACTCTACAAAGTTTCTCATTTTTATCATTTCACAATTAAACCTAACACTATTTCTAATGTGAATAAACCAGCAGTTAGTATAAGTGACGCATTTATTATTTTAATCCTCCTTAGATCTTGACAAATATCAGATTAGATTTCCATCTCATTCTGGTCTTATTTCATCCGTCTTATTGCTCATATTTCGAAGAATGATGATATACTAAAAGAGTGAACAGGCGGAGTGTATTTAAAACCACATGCATAACAAGGAAGTGACTTCTCTAATCCTTTAATATTACGTTTAATTCAGCATTTACATACCAGAATCCATGTTGATGGTTCATTGATGATGGCTTATCTTGGACACAAATAAAAGCTATTTGATGTGAAATGTTTCATGGCGTTTTTGGCTATGACCTGTTCAATATTAACTGAATTATCGTACCAAAAGTTTTTTTGTCAATACCTTCAACAGTGCACTACACAAATCAATAATCTGACCGATGAGTAAACTTTTAGCTGCAAGTAAAATGCTAAAGTCTTTACCTTGAAGTACGTTTTTTTGTCAAATCTTCCCAAAAAACATGATGTAGAACATTAAGAAATGCAACGATTTCAACTATCATAATTGGATCTTTACATAGAGATCTCAGGACTTCCTATGATGACTTAACTTATTTCTTTTCTGAATCATATTAACACACCATGTACACTGTTACCTCATTTAGTAAATTTTTTACAAGTGGTCCCTGCACCCTGACGAATAAGCAGGTCACAGGTAACGTAGCTCAGTTAAACTTTAAGTTTCAATTAACTTGTATCAGGCATTCACTATTGTATTCTTTAATATATCGTTCATGGACGTTATAATCTAATGCTTGTTTGAATTTCTCGGGACAGAACATTCTTTCACTTTCCTGCTGATTTACGTCCTCCTATTTTTCTTCAGCATAACCTCTATATTTTCTACTTCACTTTATCTCCTCACATTATTTGACGCGGGTGAACTGGTAGTTCTTTGGATAATCAAAAAGTGACAGTATCTCTGGAACTTTATAGGAAGATCGCAGTTAGGTAAGGGTTCAGAAAATCCTGCTATACTAACCATTTGTATTTCAAGCTACTCCAAGTGGTGGAATATGCAGAGTCTGGTAAAATATATGTGCGGTTTAACCCCCAATAGTCAGATATTTCAGTAGAATACTCTATTTATCACCAGAATGGATAAAAAAACTACTAAGTCATAAGCGTTCCCAATAATTTATTCGGATGCACGAACATGATTTGACGATTATCAGGTTGGTTCGAAGTCAAAAACTTAGTGACAGAGATGTATGATTCATGAACTCAAATGAAAATTTTCTGAGTATCAGTCAACTCTTTTTACTGCTTCTTTTAAGTTGATCTAATCTGAAGGAAATTACACCTGTTTGTTGATAACACTGGCTAATGAAGCACCTTCCCTGCATGGTATTATGATGAAGAATGACGGACTACTAGTTGGATAGTTTTACAAAAGTTACTACTAATTAACAGCTCTTATAATCAGGGTGTCCACAAAGTTACTGTTCATTTTAAAATTCTGTAAACATCCGAACTGTACAAGGACTTTATGGACACTTTAAATTTGCCGAATTTACAAAGAAATAAGCGACTTCATAGCAGGTTTTTAGGAAGACTTTGACTGCACTCTGATTAAGACTCAGTTGTGACCTACATTTGGACTGGTTTTGGTTAAGAAAAGTTAAGACCTGGTTAGCAGCTGAATCTCGTAGCCCGGATGATTGGACGGTGTGCCATAATCAGAAGTCCACGAGTTCAAATTCTTCTGCTACTCAGGTTTTAATTCCCCTTTTAATCATATCCCAACATCAATGTAAAAGTAGGATAAATATTTTCAAACTGAAAATTGTCCTTGACATAATTCTACTAGCCTTTAACCACAGCTGATCTGTTTAACTGTACTCCACTTATTCGGTTAGCAGATTCTCACACGTGAAGTTGGATCAGTAGAAGTATGCATGTGATTAGCGTTTTTTTAATAGTTTCGAAGGGATGAATCAAGTGATGAGATAAAAGCAGTCACATGTAATCACATGTGAAAAGTACTTCGATTATCCCAAGTTCATAGTAATTCTTAATGCCATGAATTTTATTAGTCATAGGGTTGAAATTACAGAGTCTTTAGAAACTTCATATCTCTGTATAACAGGTTCCATAGAAATGATTACTTATCAAAAATTTATTCATTGTTGATATTTTGCATAGAAGTGGTCCGTTTCTTAAATGGACAAATAGATACTGAGAATAATTTTTAACTTTTTGATATAGTTAGAATTTATAAATCTCAGTTTGTGCTTCTAAATAAAATGCTAAGCAGTGGAATAACTGAATGCAACTGTTACATTGTAATTACCATATGACTGAAAACTGAAACAGATTGTCTTTTTGGTGAGTACAGCAACTTGAGATATTTTCAAAGCACATATAGTTACTTTAAAACAATTTACAGAATGCTCTCTGAGGATAAGTGGAAATGAAATGGTCGAAAGTAATGAAGAATACAGACGAAATCTTTTAAACAGATGATTACTTGGGTAAATTTCATCACTAGGGTCGAAAACAAAAGTAAATATGGTACTACTGATCGACACCTATTAGTAACCAGTCAAAATCACTAATCAGCTTAAGGAAATTGTTAAGTAGTTCGTATGTCAAATGCATTCTGGGTTGCTACGCCACTTTCTGAAAAGCTGTTTATCCTTAAGCCAAAAAGTTAATCTCTGATTACGTTTGTAGGTTTGATGACCTACTTAACTCCAGTCTTGTTAAGAACTCTGGGTTAAGTTTCTAACGTAATTTCTTTATATGGTAATACACTGGAAGACTTGAACTACGTTATACTTCTATTCTCGTACTGTTGCTACTTCCTTTCTTGTAAATTATTACGAATCTACTGATAAACTCTGCAAGACGTCTGTTGAAGAAACCATTGGTTTTCTTTACATCACAATGTCTAGACCACTATCTGCTCTTTATTTTACTATGAAATTCTACATAACTTAATCACTTTGTTCATTTTAACCTGTAAGTGAACAGGATAGAACCCACTACTGAGTTTATAAGTACGAATAGACTAACGAAATTCTCTGATTACAACACAATGAGTAAGTTGCCACTTATCTGCAGTATGTCTTTGAAGTAGGATATACAAACACTGTTGTGCAAATATGAACTCAGAGAAATTTTGAATAACAGACCCTAATTAGATTATTAGTTTTGGAAAAAATCACAGTAGTTACAATTTACGCACTGACACTAGAGCATACAATAGGTTTGGAGAAAGTAACTCTATTAAAGATCAGTATGGTTTAATGCAGAAAAGCGAGCGACTACAGAATCTTTGTTCATCAAATCAATACCGAACGAATGCGATAGAAATGACATAATAACTAGACCGGAGATGTAGAAAATTTTACTGGCACTAATGACAGAGAATACAAGGTCACTGGACTATAAAATTCAGATGCCAAAAGTTATGTGATTCCTTTAATATCACTAAGAGAAATTGTTTGTGCTCTAATTTTCATCCAATAAACAATATTGTATCACTTGTATGAGGCACAAATGAACAACTACTAAGCTATTACAGACTGATTCCATTTCTGCGCTCAAAAAACTACTATTCGATGCTCTGTGTTCTGGATCCTCAGTTGAAATCAGCAATGAGTCGATAGCAGTTTTAATTGAATATCAAAATGAGACCTAAAGATATCTCAAAATCATGTAATGCAACAGTGGTTATCCACAATAGGTCATAAACTCCGAACGAGATTAGGTAGCTGGATCTCTGTTTGGCAAATACCTCGGTAGTACGAGCAAGTTGATTTCTTTAAGGATTAACGATCACATTGTTTCTAATTTTGAAATGTTTGAAGTTCTACCTTCCGTCACAAAAACCTTAATAGCTCATTTCCGTGTTTTGATGACCTACAGGTCTACCGAAATGCAAAAGTTTGATGAGAAATTTATCCAACACCAGAATACAGTGTACTGCAGTGTCACGTGGTTTCATCGAATGATCATGTCATGAGACTGGATCCATAGATTTTGGTCAGTGCTAAGCACTAAGGGATAGATGGCTACATCAGCTGCCCAATGGTTACTATCCCGTGTTCGAATTACTGTATAAAGTAAAACTGTTGTATATTACTGAAGTCACCACGTCAAATTTCATTAAAACGAACTAGCATATTACGTAAGTCATATACTAACAGTTGGTGCTTGAGCTAGTTCATAAGGGGTTCCAGAGACATACTGATATATACTCATGCTAAATGAATATACTTTGACTAATCACGACTTTTCAAACGCTGTCGAATATCTCGGCTAAAAGTTTCATATGGTCTACTAAAAAATCTCAGTCATGTACTGTCCTAATACAATTTACTACTATCTGTTGAAAACAAGAACTGAAAACTGATGAAATCAGTTAATTTTTAAACAGCTATTCCATCTCTTTTCCGTATTCCTTTGGCATTCATCTCCCAGTACTTTGTGTCCGTATATTTACTTTGATTATTTAATGGTTATCAACTTTATTTTCGAAAAATAGAACAAAGCAACTCAGAAAATGTTTTTCGAGACGTTAGATTTGTGAACATTCTTCAAAATTTCTCTCTTATTAAATAGAAATTATTTTTAGCATTTCTGGTAAGAAAGATGAAAAATATTTTCCCTTGTAAGAAATTGCTTACCTTTCTCCAAAATTTATTATCTGGATTTTCCATAATCAACCTGAGCGCACGTCTAGCATTGAATGCGGCCACATCCTAGAAGGCAAATATTAACCAATAAGTCTAAGCTGAAATTTAGCTACACTTACAGAATAAATATCTTCCATACTCGTTATTCCAGCGAGATAGTGTAGACAGTCTTTATTGGTTTGAACTCGTTCCTATAAGGGAAAAGAAAGAAAATTAATTCCAGGGTCTTTTTAATGCTAAAAGGTGTACTTACTGTTATATAACTGATCTGATTCAGGATATCATGATTCTGGAAATGTAAAAAAAAGATTGATTAATGTGTGTCAACAAAACATGTTCTTAATGAATAACCTACCGAACTAGTAACACTCTCTCTAATCCATTTTGATGATGCTTCAATTGTTTGTTGTCTTTCCATCTCTTCCTCCAAGCCTTGATGCGTATAACCGAAATTCGGCGATTCACATGCATTCTGTAATGAAGTGGAATGTAAAAAAATTTCGAGGTTATATCTATGCGAAACTAGTATTTAAAATACAGTTTTAGGTTGGATAAGCTTACATTGTATTACGTGGTCGGAAGTGTCTAGTAGGAAACCCTTCTAGAACTGAGTTTCATACACGTTATCATTAATGAACACAACGTATCTGCAACATCGAAAGAACTGAGGTTTTATCAGAGATTCGAACTCGTGTCAACCAGTGGCACAGTCGAAGACCTTACTGCTGTTATTCGGGTAGCGACTGACTTCCTTCATGACCGATTAGTCATTGGGAATTAGTTTGTTTCGTTCACTGCAAAATGATAGATAGAATTCCACCAACATTTAGTACACTCGAGTAAGCTACCAGTTCAAGCTAATACCATAATAATATTTATTGGCTGGAATTTGTTAAAAGGCGTCGAATAAAAGTATCAGAAACTATGAGTACCTTAAAAGTAACCAACGTTTAAAAAAATGCTTAGACTTATCAAGTACCAAAGTAAATCATGTAGGGGAGAATCGCAATCAAACAAATGGAGTATAATTTTTAGTTATTAACAAAGTGGAGTCCAAGATATTTTGTACTATGTCAAAGACAATTAGCTCAGTGTCAGATGTGAAGTTCTAAATGAATGGTACCTTGATGATAAATAAAATTTGCATTTCACATTGATACTTTTGAAAACTTGTTTAATTGAAAGATTATTTCCCGCAATAATTGATGTCACTTCTGGGATCGTTCCAAATGAAGAAGCGATATGTATGCATTCTGCTCCAATTTGAGACTAATCAGTGTTATAATCTAATGAGCGTACTTATGATGCAACCACAGAACATCACAGATAATGCAGTGTAAGAAACTTCGAGGAGAGATTAATTCTCTTGTAACGAATGAAATCACAACATTATTCATTCCTAAGGATTTACTGACTGTTCAAAAACGTGTATATTATTGTTCATTGACCATTTGTTACTTAAATAACGAACTATCAAATCTCAGTTATACTTCACTGACTGGTGGTCAGGTCTTTCAATATTGATTCATGTAGGTCATCATAGAGCCATCTTTTGAACACAGTGAATCAACTGTAGCGATTTGTCAGCCAAAGAATCTCCTTAAGTCAATTAATCCAGTTTTGTGTTTATTGGACGTTAGTACACTAATTATATCGATATAAGCTATGGTCACAGTAACTTCTATTCATTTTCAAGGTTGCATTTCTGATTATCAAACACTCGTCAACTGATTCAATGTTCAAGTATTGATTTATAGGTTTCGACCATTCGAACAGCTAGCGGTTAATTTCATTTTCAGTGGTATACTTTTTTGAGAGCAATTCTCAAAGAAAGTGATAGATTAGTGCAATATAGCCTTACAACTAAGTTCTTAGACATTTTTCAACTGAGTATAAAATTGTCTGTTTATGTACCTGAAGCAAAGTAACTGCAAATTAATATCTAATTCGTCTTAGAAAATTTCCTTCTCCGTCACTAGGACAACCAAGTCAATCAAGTTAGAAATCTGTTTAGTAGGCTCAGCGATATGAAACTTGACCATTTATTGTGTCAGCCATCTGAAATTAACTGATAGAAAGCCAGGGACCTGAATTTCGTGTATTCTTACTCTTATCAGCCAGAGGTTTCTACCACCTTGAGGGTAATAAAAATGCTTGACTACAAAAAGAACACAATGTAGTGTTTTGTCACTTACATTACAGACCAGGTTGTCAGTTACATAGGAATTCTAATGTTAATACCTAGGAATTTGCAACTGTATCTGTTACTTTCTGGAGACAAAATCTCGTACACTTCAAGTATCACAGATTTTTACAGTCCGAACATAATATAAATAAAGTCTACAACTCAGTCACTGAGTGACATATGTTTGAGTTTCCCTAAGGTTGTGAGTACTCGTCTGTGGAATTTTTGAGCATCCGGAAACCGAAAGTCAAATGATCTCTTAGATCAACCCCATGTAAGTAACACTTGATATCAAAAGTAACAGTTCGCATAGCATAAAATCTATATATCTGTTGTATTCCTTCGAGCATTGAGCGTCCTATTCTGAACGACCAGAGAATTAGGACTTATTTTCGATTTTCAATTTCTGTCATAACTACCTCAAGTAGTGATTGACAACGAATTGTTTCATCCCTTGAACATAAAATTGTTGTTGAGGTTGCTCTTAAGAACAAACTATTTTCAACACTTTATTCTGCTATTGCGAAAACTTTCATCTTAAAACACAAGTGGTACTCACATGCAAATCACAAATATTCTTAAAATGTCTACAAAATTTTTAAGCTACTTATTAGTAGTTGAGAATATTTTAAAAAAGAATCATTCACCAACAAAATGCAGTATGGAATTTCTGGTGGCCCTTCATAGAGCAAAAATTTCTTACAATTGGTCTACTTAAACACTACTTACTGAACACTTTAATTCATTAATCAATGATCATTGCTTAAACGGTTACAAAAGTAGAAGGAAAACTGTTGTTAACGAACTCTTTTACCTTTTTCACAAAATAAATATACTCTAGGATAATGTTTGTGTAGATATTTTGTGCTTATCTTTCAAAGAGTGAATCAAATAACTAGAGAAATTTCATACCGACTGCTACATAAAGATGGTGATCATTTTCATTATTAAAAGGAGTTAAATGGCGGCAAAGCTATTCAGTTTAAAGTGAAATGCCATCACCACTAATACTATTCAAAGATAACTTTTACTGTGCAAAAATATTACATAGCTGACACTAAATCAGTATTTGTAATAGTTCACCCATAAAGTTGTTCTTTTCTCTTAAGAAAAAACTTTATTCTTTTGTGTAGGCTTAAGGATAATGGGTGGGTGTAGGTATGTGCGTATGTACATGTATGTGTCTGTGCGTATGTTTGTTTGCGAATGAATGTAGCTGTAAGTGTTGCATTTTCGTATGTGAGTTTATCTGTGCACATGAATTAACTGAGCAGCTGACAAAGTTTCCAAATAGCAAAACAGCATATATACACATATATATTTATACATACGCATGCTTCATATTTAGTTCATATGTAGTAAATTGTCAGAGTGATTCAGTGACTGAGTGAGTACAGCGACCTGCAAGCATATGTACACATACCTACGCATGCAAATAAATGTGCTGCCAAATCATTGTTCTTACTCATTATTATTATACCTCAAATAGTAATGGACATTAAATTATTTTGATAATGGTAATCGTTAAAATGATAATAATAATTCTATTTATTAAAACTCTGTTTAAGGTGAAGGGATTCACAGTTATGGTTGTCGTTCTTCTCTAAATGATTTTGCATTCTTCCTTTAGTCAGTTAGTTAGACTGACAGAAGTAAAAGCTGATTATTTAGAAAATTTAGAAAATTATTTTGTGCTTTTGCATATTGTTCCACTTGTTTGTCTGTTTGTTTACTGGTTTCCTGATGACTTTAAATCATAAGACGTAGAAAGCAAAATAATTTCCTTGTCGATTATTTATTACTTTTTAAGTTCTACTGAGTTTTCTAAAGTTATGACCATACGTTATTATACATTGAATCAAGCAAGTCAAGTATGATATTGTATGCCTCCCAATGATACTAAACGGCGGTCATATTAAACCACGAATTGATGGAAGTTGTATGATGTGAAAGTGGATTTGAACCCAGGCGCTAAATTGTTGTGTAATATCAGTTAGCGTTTCCAAGTTGTGATAATAAACAACATGTACCCGGTGTTTTTAAGTTTTTAATTGTTATCTGGGTGATTTGATCCCTGCCAAAATCTGATTAAGAGCTATTTCCAGATCTATGGGCATTTCATTTTTTAAGGTTGCATTCGTCATGAACTGACATCATTTAGGAAACCATTGAAAAATTGAGTGCACTTGACGGCTGCTTCGTCCCAGAATGGGTCTCCTCAACGGTACGCCAGTGTCTCATATTTACAATGTGGCTACCAAGCTATAAGGCTCAACAACCAGGACTAGACAACCTGAAGTTGGTTGCTCTTCAGTAACTAAACAGTAAATGTAACCCAGTCCTATAAAATGTCAGTCACGGCTCCAGTAGCTCAGTAGTAAAGTCGCTGACTACAATACTGGGTGGCATGGGTTCGAATCTCACGTGGGACACCACTTACGCCGAGATCGCATATGCGCCTTGCTGACGAGTGCCAACAAGTGCGAAACCCAGGTCCAGGACTTCCTGCTGACTGCCTTCAACCAACTAACAACTACCAAAGAGTCCCAAACTAAGTCAATACAATGTTTGAGACTCCACAGTCGTGCATGTTGGATTTCTCATCGTTCTAGTGAGAAACTGTGACCCATGGGGTTAGTCAAGTCGGAAGTTAGCTGGACGCGTGCCAGTGACACTGGATAATGGTCTCGCTATACCACGAGTTGAGAAAAAAAAAACAATGGACAATTTGATTCCAGTTCATTGGTTGAAAGGTAGCATACTCACCACGAAATCTGATCTTACTGGGCTCCGTCCTTCACTGAGTAATGAGTGCATACTTCTGAACGGTCCCTAATGAGGATGTTACAGCTTTTCATTGCTCCCAGGTTTTTAGTGTCTTGCCAACTGTTATCAGCCCGTGGTGAAAACTACTTTCATACATAATTTTCTTGTTGTCTACCTCAACTTATACATAGTCGGACCCTGTCTTATCACATTTGATCAGGTATATATTCACATTTTCTGTTGCACATAATCCTCTATTAACTTCTTTTAATTGAAATGATACGATGTTCATTTATTCATGTGCCTGTTTCACATCTCTGATCTTCAGCTTTTTATATTTTTCAACTGATTTGGTGATTTTAATATTATCTTTTCTCATACTAATGCACTTCACGATTGAATTCTTATTTACTACATGGATTAGCTTTTCAAAGACAATAGCTAGAATTCTGCCTACCCTATGGCATGTATTCATTTATGAATAGTTTGTATGTAATCTGTTTCAAAGTGTTATCCACATG